TTTAAAATACAATTATCATATAGCAAGAGTAAATTCCAATAAGGTATGCTTCATACAGTATTAAAAAATACAAACTGATAGAATTGTGTATTTATCTTCTGAGTTCTTGCAGACTCAAAAGAGAGAGCCAGAAGATGATTGTGTGTGTGTGTGTGTGTGTGTGTGTGTGTGCGTGTGCGTGTGCGCACGCGCTCGCCTGCACATGCGTGCATGTGTATGTTTGTCTATTTTGGCTCCTTCTTTAATATAGCAACTCTAGTTCACACTCCATTTAGCTAAATGAAAGATGTTTACACTTCCTTTAAGGCTGTTGCTCTTCCAGTCCCTCTGGCAGCAGATATAAGAGAGTAACATCCTGCTTTGCATGGCCAAAGATACCTCGGCTGCAAAAATGTTGTACTGAATGCATTTGAGGAAATAAATGATAGACTGCTCTCACAAAGACTGCATCATATTGAGAGAAGTTTAGTCTTTACCTTCCAATTTTCCATGCAGTTAGCTATTATCCTGAAACATTCCTAATCTCTGGAGTGTAGCCAGCAGCTTCAGGAACTGATAACCTTTATAAGCTCCAACGAAGTGGTTTCACTCTGTTGATCCCCAGTTCCAAAGGATACATGTCAGTTTTGGTCACAATTGGAAACATTTGTATTTGTATTTAAAGTGGAAACCTCACTGGCCATTTTAATGTATGTGAAGATTGCAACAATTTCGCAGAAGGAATATCTAAGAGGGTTTTGTAGAAGTTAAAGAATCAATAGATGGTTTATTCCAACTTTTCCCCATTCCTCAATGAGTCAGCACAAAGGACAGTAAAACTAGTATTTTCGTTAGGGATATAAAAGTAGACCTTCTTCCCTGTCCTGGTCCCAGTTCTTTTCATTTGGGAGAGAAGGGAAAAGGACAATAGGTTCTCTACTGGTTTGTTCTTTTTGCAACGATTATGTATTAAAACCGTCTCAAAACTCAGTACCTATTTCTCAGTCACAATCTGCAGATCTCTAAAGTTGGGCTGATCACAGCCTGGACTCAGTTGGACTTGGCTCCTATTTGTAGGTTGGGTTCAGATCTGTTCTACGTCTCTCTCATCTTTGGACTGTAATGCATACTTAACGGCATTTTCTCTTCATACTGAAATACAGGAGTGTGGGAACACAAGCCTGACTGTGTAGACTTATTTCAAGGATCACACCATACTGCTCCCTAATATCCAATGTAAGTCAAGGAGCAGAAAAGTACACTCTGCCCACCATGAAACTAAAGAATTAAATTGGGGATGGGTATAAGGATGGAGTGAATATTTGCTGAAAAATATTCAATATATTGAATACACACACAAACAAACCTGGATAACCAACTCAGTTTTTAAAGTAAGATGTACCAGGATGATTGTTTCTAGGGCTTGATACTGGCTCAGTTTGTCTTTAAGAAGCACAGACATACGCACTTAGGGTTCTTTTGTGAGTGCAGATGGAAAATTAAAATATTCTCTCTCTTTAAGGATCTTGGCCCATACCCTCCTTGCCTCACTATAAACATTTGGTGCCAGAAAATCATCCCTGATTCATGCTTTGGGCCATAAAAACCAAGGAAACAGCTTCTATTCTTCTCTGAAAATTTACTCTTCAATCATCTGGTTTCTTCCTACCACTTCTCATACCATGAAACCACAATCCAGAATTATCAGAAATCTCTAAATTGCCAAATCCAAAGCAATAATAGTACTTTTTTCTTGAGGTTAATTTTTGCCTTTATTTGCCAGTGTAACTTAGCTACAGCGGCTTCCAAACTTTTTTTGACCTAAAAAAAAATATCTTTCATCACAATCCAACAAAGACATACACACACACATGCACACACATATAACTGAAACCAAAGTTTTGCCAAAAATGTCCACTCTGAGTTTGTTTTTAAGACTTTTTTATTTTTAGGTTTTAGGTTTACAACAAAATTGACAGGAAGGTACAGAAATTTCTCATATGCTCTCTCTCCACACATATGCATACTCATTATTTTTATTTACCAGCATGGTACTTTTTGTTTTTCTTAACTAAGGCTGAATGTACTTTGAAACATCATAATCACCGAAGTCCACAGTTCACCGTAGTTTGGACAAAAAAGTATGACATAGATATCCATCGTTATAATGTCATACAAAGTATTTTCATTGCTCTAAAAAGCTTCTGTACTCCTGAATGGCATATGGCATTTCTCTTTTTTCCCCTGAAAAGAGGTTCAAAGCCTTCATGTCTATAAGACCACTCATGGCCCACTCAAGCACAGACCAGACAGGTTCTAGGTGGCAAATTCCCCCACTAAATACTGTGGCTTTTCTTCCAATATTCAGCCCTGTCCCACTGGTCCTGCCCAGCAGCCATGTGGAGGTGCAGGGGGACAGGTGTAGGGTATTTGTTCATAGGAAGGCTCCAAGTTTTGTGACCCTTGTCACAATGAACCCAGCCAGATTCCTGTTGGGTGTATTGTAAATAAAATAATGTTACTTTAAATCTGTGAGCTCAAGAAAGTTTAATGAGTTATTACTTTATGAACTGTAAAGTGTAATAGATATAGAGATACAAGATTGAACAGTACTGTTATGATCTCTGCTTTCATGGAAAGTAAATATAGTTGGGAATACAAACAGATAGACCATCATGTGATAACAGATGAGCAGAACATGAAACATAAGGAAGAGAGGCATCAACATAAGACAATTGGGGTTCTGGCTTTAGGAAGTGATGTCTAAATTTATACCTGAAAGGTGGGTGTGACACAAATGAAGGAATGGAATATATATATATATATATATATACAACACCTGTGAGTGGGTTAAGGTTCTCTACGCCAGAGAACTCCACGTATATTGAATTCAATAAATGTTGAATGCTTGAAGAAATGAAAAATGTAATGAATCAGTTGCACCAATTATTTTACTTAGCAAATATTTACTGGGTTCCTACAGTGTTCTAGACACATCTTCAGGTGCTAAGATTCAGACAAAACACAAAACAAATAAAATATTGAGTGTGTGAGACAATAGCAACTCTTCTGTAGAGAATTCAAGCAGGAAGGGCAGTATACAATGTCTGAGTGAAGGTCAGATCCCATTTTATTTTATTTTAAATGTGTGTATATATATATTTTTTTATTGAAGTATAGTCAGTTTACAATTTTGTGTGAATTTCTGGTGCACAGCACAATACTTCAGTGTCATATAGGAACATACATATATTCATTTTCATATTCTTTTTAACCATAAGTTACTACAAGATATTGAATATGGTTCCCATTCTATACAGTATAAACTTGTTTATCTGTTTTATATATATTAGTTACTATCTGCAAATCTCAAGCTCCCTATTTGTGCCTTCCCACCCTCTTCCCCCCTTGGTAACCATAAAGTTGTTTTCTATGTCTATGAGTCTGTTTCTGTTTTGTTAATAAGTTCATTTGTCTTTTTTTTTTTTTGGGTTCCACATATAAGTGATATCATATGGTATTTTTCTCTTTCTGGCTTACTTCACTTAGTGTGATGATCTCCAGGCACATCTATGTTGCTGCAAATGACATTTTATTATTTTTATGGCTGAGTAGTATTCCATTATAAATATACACCAACTTCTTTATCCAGTCATCTGTCGATGGACATTTAGGTTGTTTCTATGTCTTGGCTATTGTAAATAGTGCTACTATGAACTTTGGGGTGCATGTATCTTTTTGAATTAAGGTTCCCTCTGGACATATGCCCAGGAGCGGGATTCCTGGGTCATATGGTAAGTCTATTTCTAGTCTTTTGAGGAATCTCCATACTGTTTTCCACAGTGGCTGCACCAAACTGCATTCCCACCAGCAGTGTAGAAGGGTTCCCTTTTGTCCACAGCCTCTCCAGCATTTATCATTTGTGGACTTTTGAATGAAGGCCATTCTGCCTGGTATGAGGTGGTATCTTGTAGTTTTGATTTGCATTTCTCTGATAATTAGTGATATAGAGCATTTTTTCATGTGCTTATTGGTGATTTATGTCTCTGTAGGTCTTCTGCCCATTTTTGGATTGGGTTTTTTTTCTTATTAAGTTGTATGAGCTGTTTATATATTCTGGAAATTAAGCCCTTGTCAGTCATCTTTTGCAAGTATTTTCTCCCATTCTGTAGGTTGTCTTTTGTTTTGCTTAGGCTTTCATTTGCTGTGCAAAAAGCTTATAAGTTTAATTAGATCCCATTTGTTTACTTTTGCTTTTATTTCTATTCGTTGGGTAGACTGGCTTAGGAGAACGATGCTGAGATTTATGTTGGATAATATTTTGCCTATATTTCCTTCTAAGAGGTTTAGTGTCTTATTTTATGTTTAAGTCTTTAAGGCATTTTGAGTTTATTTTTCTGTATGGTGTAAGGGAATATTCTAGCTTCATTGGTTTACATGCAGCTGTCCAGTTCTCCCAACACCATTTGCTGAAGAGACTGTCTTTGCTCCATTGTATGTTCTTGCCTCCTTTGTCAAAAGATTAATTGACCAAATTTTGTGGATTTATTTCTGGGCTCTCTGTTCTGTTCCATTGATCCATATGGCTGTTTTTGTACCAGTACCATGCTGTTTTGATTACTGTAGCTCTGTAGTATTGTCTGAAGTCTGGCAAGGTTACTCGTTCAGCTTCATTCTTTCTCTTCAGTAATGCTTTGGCAATTCTGGGTCTGTGAATCCATATAAATTTTAGGATTATTTGTTCTAATTCTGTCAAAAATGTCCTGGGTGATTTGATAGGGATTGCAGTAAATCTGTAGATTGCTTTGGGTAGTATGGCCATTTTAACAATATTAATTCTTCCAATCCAAGAGCATGGGATATCTTTCCATTTCTTTAAGTCATCTTTAATTTCCTTAGTCAGTGTTTTGTAGTTCTCTGCATGTAAATCTTTCACTTCCTTGGTCAGATTTATTCCTAAATATCTTTTTTTCCAATTCAATTTTAAAAGAGATTGCTTCTTTACTTTCCTTTTTTGATATTTCATTGTTAGTGTAAAGAAATGCCACTGATTTCTGTATGTTAAAAGAATTCAGCCAGATAGCAGGATACAAGATTAACATTCAGATCCCATTTTAAATAAGTAAGTCAAGGAAAGCCTTACTAAGAGATTACCCCTTAGTCTTTGAATGCCTGCCCCCTCATCTCTTGACAGAGCACACCAGGCATAGGAAAGAGCAAGTGAAAGGCCCAAAGTAAAATAGTGGCTGGTGCATTCCAGAAATAGCTAACAGGCCTGTGTGAATGAATAAGGTAAGTGAGCAAAAGAATGATATAATTTGACCTATATTTTAAAAGGTTGATTCTGACAGCTTGGTGGGAAATAGGATGTAGAAAAATGTGTAAGATAGTATAAATGTTATAACAACCCCCAAATCTCAGGGGCTTAATACAGTATATATTTATTGTTCATAATAATGTTGATGTTTTTGGATACGTAGCTCTGTTGATCACTCTCTCCAATTAGTGACCCATGGTTCCATCTTCCCTCTATCTTGTGATGCAGTGGTCTTCTGCAGAAATTATCCGTGGTTTCTGGAGAGGGAGTAGGGAGCATAAGAAATGAGTACTGCATAATTAACAACCTCACTAGTTGCCTTCCAGTGGCTGAAATTATCTGCATGGCTCCACCTATATGCTAGGGGTCTGGGAAATTTAGTCCTTGGTTGGGCATTCACCTTCAAGTAAAACATACACATAATGCTAGCCATTGTTAACATAGGAAACAAGAGCAAAGGAAGGGAAATCAGTTTGGAGGCTCCTGCAGTAATGTATGTGAAGACAGACAGGGATTAGACTGGAAGCCTAAGAATAGAAGTGGCTGTAATCTGGATACATTTTGAATAGAGCACTAAGAGGATTTGCTTATTGATTAGATGTGGAGTGAGAAGAAAATGGGAGAAATCAAGACTGACTTTAAGGTATTTGGCCCAGGCAATAGGAAGAACTAAATGTCCATAAAAGAGATGAAGAAAAAGGTAGAAGGTTTCTGGGAGACAATGAGGAATTGTACTGAAATGTGAAATTTGATTTACCTTTAGATATTTAAGGACAGTAACCACTATACAGTTGGATTTATGAGTATGCAATCCTTGGGGCAGGTCTTAGATAGACAAACATTTGGTCACATATAGACTCGAGTGAGAAAGTCACTGGAGAAGGTATATAGATGGAGACAATTAGAGTTTCAAAAAGAAGTCTTGGAGAAGATGAAGGATCAACAGAGTAAACAGAAAAAAAGCAACTATTGAGGTAGGAGAAATACTAGATGTGATGCTCTGGATATCAAATGAAGAAAGTGCCTTGAGGAAACTATCATGACCTGTCATGTTTCTTGCCAATGATAGGGTCAATAAAATCAAGTCTAAAAATTAGCTGTCAGACAGGCCTCTGAAGGTCACTGACATCCAGTCCTGGTAGAATGATGGGTGTAAAGGCCTCACTGAAGTAGGTTCAACAGTGGATACAGACCTCTCTTGTTATTCTGGAAAGGAAAACAGAATGGGACTAGGATTTTTGAGGGCAAAACAAAAAGAAGCTTTTACTTGTGTTTAGGTAAAATTTGGGACAATTGAAGTGCATGTTTGTATATTGTTAGAAATGATCCAGAATGGAGAGGAAAAGTTCATGATTTGAAAAATGAAGGATCTCACTCCAGCAATTCTCCTTTACACAAGAGGGTATGAGATCTAATGCATAAGCAGAGGGTTTGGCCTTGGCCAGGAGCAGAGAAAGACGACGAAAGGTTGAGTGGATGATGGTGGGTGAGTGAATAAATACAGCAGTGAGAGTCCCAGGAAGTTCTCTTCTGATTGCTCCATTTTCACACTAAAATAGGAAGCCAGGGTGTTATATGGGAGCGATGATTAGGGGAAGAGTTGGTGGAGATTGAGCAAAAAGGAGAAGGTCACAAATAGTAATTTTGGAATTTGAGAGAATGAAAGCACTAGGGAAAGTAGTGTGCCTGCCTGTCAACATCAAGGGCCCCCTTGAGTTTAAATCAGTCAAGGTTGAGGCTTTGCCAGTTAAGTGCCATGAGGAGAGAAAAGGGCAAGAGGAATGAGGGTATGTGTATGGGAAAGATTATGATAATGGGCCATGGAAGTAAGGTGGATAAGGTAAGTCTGGGTTTAGTGGAGTGAGGAAAATGGAAATGTGGGAGGCTGGAATGCGTGTGAGGAACTGCTGGACTTGACAAACCAACTGTAAGCCTAGGCCGTGGTGCTGCAAGACTGAGAGGCTTTGAACTGATACGGGAAGAGCTGAGTTACTGGTAATGGCAAGGTCTAGCATGTGGAGTCCGGAGTGGGGGACTGGAAAAAGGCAGAGGCCAAGATTACTGAAGGGAGAAGGGCAAGGTATGCAGAGGCCAGGGTATCACAAGGACCATCCAGGACTAGCTATGTGACTATTGAAATCCTCAAATTACATCAGGAGTATTTTTGACAAAAATAAAACAAACTTACAAATTAAACCTTTAAGTAATGAGGGAGAGGCACCCAGGGCATCTTTAAAAACCTGCAACATGGAGGGGTACTGGGCGGGACAGTCAGATGATCTGAGACTCAGAGCTGGGTGCTCTCCGGGCGAAGGGGGAACCCAGCACATTCTCGACGGGAGTGGACTCCGTTCTCATTTCTGTTTAAGGAACCAACCGAAATCTCTTCTCCCTGATGAATCCAGGAGTCACAGGGCCTCTTAGTCTCTTTTGCCTGTAATTTTCAATATAAGTTTAGTATGTTGTTATCCATGCCTGTATCACATGAGCATAATGCCCGACCACAGCTGAGAAAGTCAGATTTGCTGAGTTCAAAGTCCAGCCCTATCAGTGACCAGTAATTTCCTTAACCTCTCATGTTTCAGCCCCCTTTCAAATAAAAGTATATTTTTTTATTGGCATATAGTCAGTTTACAATGATGTGTCAGTTTCTGGTGCACAACATAATGCTTCAGTAATACATGAACATACATACTCATTTTCATATTCTTTTCACCATAAGTTACTACAAGATATTGAATCTACTTTATGCTAATTCTAATTTCATATAGAAAGGACTATTGGTAAGTCTGTCACTTAATATATAGGTTAGTAGATATTATGTTTGTATTAGTACATTTTAATTAGTAGATACTACAATTAACATCATCTAGCATCTTACACAGAACCTTCAGTGGGGGCATATATGGCATTGGTGAAGTACAAAAAAAGTGATTAAACATTCTTTTGAATATTATCACAAAAGCATTTCTGGCTAAAATCATTTTTGTCCATATTAGATGAGCTATAAGTTATCTTTGGAAAAGCTGAATATAAATGATTTCCTCTCTGGTTCAGGTTGATGTACGAGATAGAATTTGCTGTAGTGAGTGATGGGTGCAATAGACTTTGAATAAACATATTTTCTATTGGGGGTTCGACTTCAGTGAAAAGGGAAAAATAATCTGTGAAACTCTTTTCTTTGTACTCCCTGATCCATGTGCCTAAATAGTAAATGACATAATTTACATTTATTAAAATAACAATTTATTATCTTTAACATTTTTCATTGAGTTATAGTCATTTTACAATGTTGTGTCAAATTCCAGTGTAGAGCACAATTTCAGTTATACATGAACATACATATATTCATTGTCACTTTTTTTTTTCGCTGTGAGCTACAAGATCTTGTATATATATTTCCCTGTGCTATGCAGTATAATCTTGTTTATCTATTCTGCGTATGCCTGTCAGTATTTACATATTTTGAACTCCCAGTCTGTCCCTTCCCACCCCCCTCGACAACCACAAGTTTGTATTCTATGTCTATGAGTCTGTTTCTGTTTTGTATTTTTTTGTTTTTTTAGATTTCACATATGAGCAATCTCATATGGTATTTTTCTCTTTCTGGCTTACTTCACTTAGAATGACATTCTCCAGGGACATCTATGTTGCTGCAAATGGCGTTATGTTGTTTTTATGGCTGAATAGGATTCCATTGTATAATTATACCACATCTTCTTTATCCAGTCATCTGTTGAT